AAGTAATTAATCAAGATTTTTTCTTACTTGGACAAAACTCATTGACGCTGCTGGTGTGCTATTGAACTTGAAGACAGCAAGTCATAGCCTTGGTAGAAGTTAGGGTCCAACGTCTGCCCAAAAATAAGAAATAGAAGACCACCCTTCATTATAAAAATAGCTATATACTTGTAAAAGTATAATACTATAAAAAATTAATATAAATAAGAAACAACACAAATTAAAAGCATAATATTTGCTTACTTGCAATAATTGTGTCATGTTTTTAGGATTTCGCCTATTGTAAATGTCTTCTATTGGAATTCCAAATTCCTGATATAATTAAAGAGAGACGACCACAAATTAAAAATTTCATTGAAAAAATATATCGTTAATGTAGTTTAGTCATCTAAAGAATAAATTATTCAAATAAAAATTTAAAATAAATTACATATCTACTATGCTATACAAGACAAAAATGACGAATAACGATACCTGCTGGGGTGGTAATTCTCGAACAAAACCTTGAATTGTAGCAGAATCCATACTTGAATGAACAACATTATTTCCAAATTCCTACAATCATTTTTATCCAAATTATAAATAAAGATCCTAATACTATTTCTATACTCATCATTCATCAGACAACTAAGGAACCCAAAAAAAAAAGTAATAGTCAAACAATCAAAAACCATTGTTCACATAAACTAAATAAATTGTCTAACCTGTAATTTTTTCGATGAAGACTTCTCTTTCACCTTGTACTTGCGTTTCTTAGTAGCCATTTCCAGTGCACTTCTTGGCCTCTTGCTCGACTTGTAGGTGACTTTTTCTTTCACTTTGATGCCTTTTATTTTATTATAGGCAACTTCAGATGGATTAGTGTCAACATCTTGATACGCACTACAATTTTCTTCAATACGCACTTCTTTCATTTTCTTTTTCCCTTGACAACATGCATCCATTTGTTCTGACATTTTCCAAAATCCATCTTTAGCAATTTGATAAGCTTCATCACATTCAGAAGCTACTTCAGTATCGAATTCCATGTCAAGTTTCGGGACCAAGTCATCAGGTATAGCCAAAGGAAGAAAAATTTGATTTCCTTGATTGCCATCAGTAATACAAAGAGGTAAGGCATTATCATTTATCTCCTGCAAGTCAACATCTTCAAAGTCCAATTTACGACATGATTGGACTTCATGAGTTGGCAAATCATTCTCCATATTCCCCCAAAACCCAACAAATGACCTGTATCAAATTACCGAATACAAATACATAATTTATTACCCTTTTTGGTGAAAAGCAACATGGTAGGGAAAATCATGCACCTATTAAACCACAGAAAAGAATGACTCAGCAAATAGCACAGAGGAAAATATGTGAAAAATAAGTATGCATTCAAGCTATTCATACACAAGAGAAGAGGCCCAAAACTAATGCATCAAAGTATTCACAAAGAAATGGCACAATTTGCAAAGTCACCAGGAGAAATATCACACACACAACAGAATTTCACTAGAATAAAATAACCCATGCAAAAGTACTCGACCCATGAATGAAAAGTAGATATCCTCGTAGGGAATGATCAAACAAAGAGCAGATAACTTACTGTATAAACACCCAAACTAGAATATTAAAAAATAAATAATAAACAGAAAAAATGAAATACGTTATTAAGTTCTCATTTTCCCTCTCAACAGGAAAGACTACTATGGCCATGTAATTAGTATGTGAAGACTTTGTTTAATATTATGTCTTCGTCAATGAAAAATTATAGGTTTATAAGCTGGAGTAGAAATTCTTAGGGAAGCAAATCGCTAGCACTAGAAATTCTTAAATATTATTACGGCACATTGCCCTTAGGAAACCTTTGACATTGTCAAGTCATACTAAATTAGGATCCCTGTTGACCACCAAAAAGATTTAACAAAAAAGAAAAAGAAAAAGTCATACTTAATCAATACTAGGCCAGACGCTGGCGTTTCTTGTGGATTAATCGCCGAATATAACTTTTGCCGAATCAATACATGTTGCTTTTCATACCACTTTGGTGATTCTAAATTTACTATTCTTCTTATTAACCAAACTCTTAATTGTTTTTGTAATAGTTAAAAGCCTGGATAGAAGCGGCACATAAATAACGCAATTCGTTGCATATGAAGAGTACTTATTTGAAGGAAAATTCACCTACGTACCTTGCTCCGTTGAAGACTAGCTTTAGTTTAGGAGAAAAGGCTTCAGTTTAGGAAAATTCACCTACGTCCCTTGCTCCGTGAATATTTCGTCAAAGCTGAATGGTGAAGATGATGAACTCGGACAGCCCTGCTGCGTTGCGATGAAGGTTTTGAGAAGGATACCAATCTGATGGGAAACCAGAATCGTGGCCTGCTGCGTTGAATTGCACTTTGTTGTCCTGCCCGAATTTTGTGATGAAGCTTTTGAGGAGGAGTGAAATCTGATGGGAAACCAGAATCGTGGCCTTGTGGGGTTTTTTTTTGTGCCTTGTTTAATCTTTAATTTTGTTTTTTGGGTTTTTAGTTTAATGGATTTTGGTTTTGTGTGATTAAGTTTCTCACCCCGATTAATCGGTTAAATAATTAAACATGGTTCGAGTTGGGTTGTTTCAGGATTGGGTTAATAAAAGGACACTTGGCAAGTTTATGAGGGGTGGGATAGGGTGTGAGACAGGGTTGTGGTACAGAGGATCCGTTGCGATATGAATCTCATATATAATAATTACTTATGTATTGTGAAGTTATATAGGTAATTCATGTAGAGTTACAAACTCTTTAAAAAAAGTTACACCCCGAGTCCGGTAATTTGACTGACTGCTGCAGCCTGCAAAGTCGTGACTTCCTAGATGAATCAGAATTTCCTCCGCAGAAAAAAGGGGCCGTTTGTGCCTTAAGAAAATTAACGGCATTCTATATATAATATAATAATCACCATTGTTGAAGAAGTGTCAATGGTCCAAGTCCGCGTGAATTATGAGAGACATGCCAGAGAACTAGTTACCACATGTGGTTTTTTTTTTGGTTATAAATCACAAGTATACGCGTATATTTATGATTTGCGACTAATTCTATTAAATAGAATCAAGCTCCTTACCAAGAAAAAACTTTCTCAATATTATTCTTTCCATTTTTATGAATTTCAAACCCAAAACCTCACGATCAAAGATAGAAACCCAGTTCACCGGCACCAACATCCTTTGGTGTTAGCCCATGGTTTTCACTTTTACGGTTGGTTGGTAGCTGATGCTACCAGATAGATTCAATTGGCTTTAGCATATGGTTTTAACTTTTAGACTTAGTTGGTAGCAGATGCTACCGGATAGATTTATGACTGTAGAGCAATATTTCGTTTGATTAAATATTTTGATATCGCCAATTTATAACCATCCACATAAATAGATTTAAGAACATACAAAAGCAAAAAAAAAAAAAAATGTATCGGATTGTAAATTCAGCACTCACCGCCAATTTTTTTTTATTTTTATTTTTTGTCTATATTCACCATCTACATCTACTCTTACTCCTATTCTAATCTATACTAAAGGAGTGACCCAATAGAATCACAAAAAAATCGATGAAAACTGAACCACCATCAAATCATACGAGTATAAGAGGCACCCATGAGAGAATTTAAGAGAAACCACGTTAAGTTGCAACTTTTGATAGAAACAAGGTTTGAATTCTTGAACTCCCACCTTACAAAGACATCTGATAGCCAACAACTTACCACCGCCAATTCCTCTGATCAATTTTAGTTCCATTGATTTCCATCATGTCTTTAGAGATGGTAATGTCCCTGCTGACACTTCAGCAAAATCAGGAATTCAAACTACCACTATTATTTTGATGGAGAAAGCTCCAGACTTTGTAATGCCAGCCAATTTTGGCTGATATATCAGCTTATTGATAAAATGTTTTATTAGTTTAAACCCAAAAAAAAAAAAAAATCTTAGCCACTAGAAAAAGGGCACTAAGTTGTGAGTCTAATCTAATTATATATTTCTACCTGTATTATCAAGTCTTACCAAATTGTCAATCTAATCTAAATATACTATATTCGTAGAATTTTTCCTACCAAGCGTGGGTGCTAGTTATAATTTGAACAGTACAGCATAATATTTGAGTAACCTAAAACTTGAGACTGGCAAGATAGATTCACGTTAGAGGTCATACATCAAGATACTACTGTTCTCAAAAGATCATTCATATGCAAAAACAAAGCTCATACCTTTGGTATTTCAATCCCATTAACAAACCGTCCGGAAACTATGAAGTGTAAAACAGTTAAAAGATGAAAGATGTGAATATTCAACAAAAAATTTAAATTTCAAATTCAAATTTTGCATAATTATCATTCATCCAATACTGACAGAGTGTGTAAGGAAGATGAATCCCAAAATAAATTCATAGAATACCATTTCAGCTTCCAATTTGGAAAAGCGAGAAGAAATCACCAGAAACTGATGATAAATTAGCCCTTTAATCCCCTCATCATCCATCCTTCTCGCCTCTCAAAACCAAACGACAAGGCTGGATTTTCTTCTCAAGTTCAGCAGACGGTTGGCACTGCACCACATCATCCACTGTGGTTTCACTGCTTATTCAGACAAATTACTCTTATCTATCACCTCCACATTAGTTGCTACATATGACTGCTCTCTTTTTAAATCTTGGAAAGAATGTGCAATGAGTAAAAACTCCTAATCGCAGTTCCCTGTAATATAGAGTAGACACTAAGCCATGGTACCGAAACTACTAGTAGTCCCTTGCACTCTATATATTCTGAAAAAGCACATTTAAGTTGGCCATGCAGAAAATAGACCATTCACATACAGGAGGCCAAACAAAGTAATCTGCACCAAGTTGGACATAAATCTTCTAGAAATCTACCTTCAATGAGTACTAGAATGCCTTCCCATGAGTGCGATGAAGCCTCTGAGAGAAGTCAATCCATCCATAGACAAGATACAATCCCATCAGAGGGAAAGTATGACTGTTAATTATCAAAGAGGTTATGGCGAACAGATAAGGTTTCCATAACTAGATATATCAGAAAGGACGCATACAACCAAAAAAATCAAGTTGTCATAGAGTCATAATAACAAGTATAAGAAGCAGAGGCACCTAGTCAAGAATTCATGAAGTATCTCCCCGTAAAACTGAGCGGCTGTCATACAACTAGGAACACTAACTAGAGTATTGCCTACCAGAAATTGGAGAACAACTGCAGTATTGGGAGAGCGAGTTCTATCTTCCTTTGGTCATTCTAGTATCTTCATTCCAAGCCACCAGTAGAAGTGACACGCGTTGCATGGGAATGCTCATGTGCTATGAATACCTTTATCCAATTGCTCAACCCATTTCATTCTTTTTACCTTAAAGTGAGCTATCAAAGCTGCAACAGGGACAACGAGTCCCATGTAGCATAGCGACTTAGATTACACCATGACAGATAGGTTAAAAAAGGTAAAAACCCAAATGACCTTGAATTTAGATTGTTCTCCAGGAGTAAAGGTCATCCAGGATGCATAAGAGCTAAGAATAGTTAGCAGGCCACCTCATCCAGAAATTCAAGGGAATACTAACGCAATTTTGATTTCTTTTGTGAAAATGACTTTCTTGTTGAATAAGGAAAAATTATCTCATATAAATTGTGGAGGAAGCCTTCATCATAAATGTTATTTTGAACAACCTCCACCTCTTCTAGACGAGATCTACTGAATATGGCCTTCCATTTGCTCTGCGGAAGCTTCTTATCAAGGCTCAGTTCAACTAAACTTTCTTTAAGGGCTGCCTCACTTGCCTTTGCCTCAAGCAGCTTCCTCTGCCAGCTTAAATACTCTTTCCACTTGAATGTCTGCAATTCATATTGACCAGCAAAAGAATACAAGTTTTACAATCTATGCAGCAGCAATATCACATCAGGAGCTACCAAGACAGATAATATTGTACCCGTCTCTAACAGAAAAGCTAAAACTTTGAGGTTGTTTAGCAGCAACAAACTGTATTCCCTGTTTGGACGTCTCATTTCTATGGTTAAAACATTTAATTTTATTTCTCTTGCATGAAAACTGTTTTAACTAATTAATATCGTTCAGGGGCTATACTTAGCAATGCCTCAATTAATTTGTATAACAATGTCAAATTGTGGGCCAAATGAACAAAACGAAATTGTTAGTATATAACCCCAATGAAAAGAAGCCAGACCTCATTTGTTGTGGTGTTTGTGATGCATAATTTAGCATGGTATCCAAAGAAACCACATAGTAGTAGAGAAACAATGGCTAGAAACGCCATGATAAGTATTTGTGTATTGTAGGAGCTGAGCAACCACTGCATGAAGACAATAAAGAAACACCATCTTAGAGCATTTTAGTGAGAAGAAATGCTTGCTTAAACACAAATCATATACCAGAAAACGTAGTAAAAGAAGATGAAATACATTAAAGACCGTGAGAACAACAACCAAGCAAAAATCACAAGACTGATTTCAGAAACACAGTATTTTCTTAACTAGTGCCACAGAAAGGAAAGCAAGACCAGACCCAGTTGTATCTGGCCTGGACAAGAATGGCAGTTTCTATCTTTTCTTGCATAATACTTAGCACTCAAAATATGAAAATTACTACTACCATTAGAGACTTAACTTTCAGACACCCAATAGCAAAACCTGAAATGCAACTAAACAGCAGGGATAACACAACTATATTTTCACTCAATCACCAGCCAATCAGAATCAGCTCAAACTTTAAAACTTATAAGAACAAAGTTTGCAGAACCAGTTTTAAAGCAAATGCAAAGGTGAACCACTCTAAAAAAGCATAAAGCCACACATTAATTTGTTGTTTTATCTTTTTTAGTAGAACCAAGATGAGATAAGAAACCACCCACTGTGTGTGTGTGCGCGCGTGCATGCGCAAAAAGATACCCCTTTCTAATAGAAGCAAGTAAATTTAAGAATATCTAGAGCCAAGAACACATGGCTTTTGCAGCAAGGAATTACGATTGCTAGTAAATCAGATTTAAAAGAAAACAATTCACAGGAAGTTTCTCATTTACTAGTTGTAACCACCCTCCTTGGTAAAAAAGTCGAAACACTACTAGAAGTCCTATTTCCTATATCAATACATTCAGTTATTGAGTTCATAACCATATCATCCAGCCAAAAATCCAGAATAGTGAAAGGCATTTCTCATCTTACACACACTAGCAGGAGATAAACAATTTTATTCATTATTCTGCATCTCTTTCACACAATAGCTTTAAACAAAGATCAATTTCACACAATAGCTTTAAACAAAGATCAATTTCAGACCTCTATCACTAAGTTTCCAAAGATGAGCATGAATTATCTGGCTATGAAAGAGGAAAGCCAAATTGAGAGGTTCTGTATTTGGCCTTACCTTAAAGTTCATAGACTAAATTATGTATCCAAATTCGATGAAATTGAAAAACAAACCAACTCTTGCTTGATCCAACTTAAAACATGCAGAACTATAAATAATTGATATTTTCACAAACTTATAATCCACCAAGCATCCTTTGAGTCAAATGTAATCCACCAAAATATCTTTCTCAAAGAAAAGCTTCTGCTCATTCATTTTTTGAAGCTACAACTTCTCCATAAAAGTTCCAACTTTGAGAGCCTTTTACCTTTTTGTACCCCACTTATTATCTCAAAAGAAGCATTTAAATTGTAGTTCTTAAATGAAAATCATCAATCCCACATTCTCAATCCACCAGAACTAAATGGGGCTTGTTCAGAGGTCAAGTCAATTACAGATGGACTCATCATTCCTGAAAATCTATCGTTCTGCTCTCATGAAAAAACCATCTTCATTGCTTTTTCGCTTGGCTTTCTCAGAATCTAGACAAACAGAGGAAGAATACTACACCAACAACCACAATTTCAGTACAGAATTGTTGCAAGCATTCTTGTTACAGCATTGCATAACCTATCCCCATGTCTCCAACTACTTCTTCATTCCATTGGTAAAGTTACAAGAGCAGATTCTGTTATTTTGAAGCCAAAATGGTCAACTAAGATCAACAGCACCAGATTATTTCATTCTTTTAGACCATTAACAGGTACATGGAAACCATATGCACAACTCAAATGTTGCCATCAACTTATATTATTTAACAAAATGATCAGAAATAGGATTCGTTTCAGCTTTTTCTGGTAACATTAGATACATGCTACATGTTCATTAAGTTATCATCAAGAAAACCATTTGCTAGACTTAAGTGATGTCTCACTGCGTAAGCATGAAAAATTAAATGAGCAGGACCAACCTATAAATCCAGCAAAACTGGCAAGTATTGAGATTTAGATTAATCAGAGAGGAGAAAAATTAGTAAAGTTATAAGGAGCTTACCTGTACCACATGTGGAGCCAAGCTTCTGAATGAATTTTCAATCCCATAATACACTACAGCAAGAAAAGACAGATTAGGTTTGTTGTACTTTGATATGCAAATCAACACAATGAGAAACAGAAAGGAAACACATCCAGTTAACCTGTCAATATATGTATCACTCGTAGTTCTTTCAACCGACCAGCAAGAAGAAATAAAATTGCAATCACTCCATAAACACAAAGAAGAAAGTGCCTGCAAAAGCTCTGAATAAACATTACAAAAGAATTTATTGAAGAAAAGCATTACCTACAAACCATTGAAAACCATATGGGAACCCCTATCGTGTATGCATTACCATATAGTCCAACTTTCATATCTTCCCAGAATTCATTTTACAAATAATTAAATATTCCTAATCGACACAGGGAACAAACCCAAATTAGATTTTTTTGACAACAAACTGGTCCGGAGAAGAACGAGGAAAGCTACTGACTGTGTGATAGGTTCTTTATGAGAATATGTTTACTCACCAAAGAAGAAAAGCCATGAAATATCTGGTGTTCTTCTCGCCAATGCAATTGTTCTGCGGTAGTAGGAAATATAGCATAAAACTTCAACAACTAATGTAATTGAGTAATTATGAGGAAAGCCCACAATTCATTTATTACAAGGAAAAGAAAGAAGTTATGATTAACAAACCATCCATCCACAATGATGGTCAAATCGAGCAACACAACGATTGCACACACTGCAATGCTTGGACCTTGCAGGTCTGAAAAAGAAAGAATTTATCCAATCAGTTTGATAATAAAAAAGGACTCAAAGCTCCAACAACCAAACAAAGACATAACCTTGGAATCTTGCAAGTTGAACAATCTTTTTCAAAAAATATAATGTTGTCATAGGGATAGGCAGCAAGATACTGAGATACATTCTCAATATTCACAGTTCCTGGATCAGAAAAGCTTGTCACAAGAAAAAGTAGGATACCCACGGCTACAGCCAAAATGCTTGTGTATCTGCAATAACATGTATATTACAAGTTATGCGCCTAGTTTATGTCATAAATTAAGGACAACAATGAGGTTTACTACGCTACCTGTGGACTTCACCAAGGTAATATCCTGGAATATAGCTGAAAGATGACTTCACAAGGATGTAATACGTACCTCCGATTATTCCAAGATATATTATCTGCACAACAGAAAAGATGCTAACTATATTTCTTTGACGTAAAGATGAGACCGTTTTCACAATTAAACAAAGTTATTATCGTAGGATACTGTAAAGAATACATCTTTATAGCTTCACCATCACATTTTTTACGTAACATGGACTATCAACTGACTTTTATACCAGTCAATATCATCACTTTAGTTTTCATTTAGAACCCAAAAAAAAAACCCAAAATTCTTCTCCAAAATCCAAAAATAATATAAATACACAATCAAATACCAAGAATGTAATAAATATATAAATAACCATAACCAAGAATGTAAACCACTGCAAACTGCAAAGTATGGTAGTCCCCAGAGCTACAATCACTAGTGCAGTATCTACCTACATCAGATTTTACTAGGGTATTGACTGAACTATCATCTTAATCTACTTCCAATTGCATTCAAGAAAAAGAAAAACAAAAAGGGTTCTTCAAGTCTGTAGAAACAGGTCAAAAAAACCTGTAAAATTGGGTTAGGGCGATCACAACAATAGTATTCCACTGATGCCAGCGCTCCAGTTCCTTTAGGCCCAAACACAAGCACGACAAATCGCCTGTGTAACATTGAACTGTTAATTAAAGCATCACAGTCTATTGAAACCCACAAAGATAGAATTTGGTAAAAACAACGCCCCCCAAGAAAAGAAAAGAAAAGAAAAATGGGTACCTGAAATAATCATAAGCTCCAAAGGTAAGAAAAATATGGATACGTTGAATGAAGGTGCCCTGAAAAATTGGCCAATTGCCGCAGAGGAAGGATACAATCACCAGCAGTGTGACCAGACCGTGGCACACCAGAAGCCACTGTACTTCCATCAGGAATGGCTCAATGACTAGAGCCAGAGGGAAAAGAGAATATTGGTTAAGAACCCATTTAATGGTATATGCAGCAATAAAAAGTTCTTCGTTGTGGAGAAATATCTAGCGGAGGTTGCAAATATTCTTATTCTGTTTGTCTTACTTGCACTGGAATAATGGGTTTGAGGCGACAGGGTTTGATTGGAAAAAGTAAATCCATTTGAATTTTGACCCCTTTTGGGGTTGCGAGGTGATTTTGGTAAAAAAAAAAAAAAAAATACTTTTGAATGTTAAAAGCACTTTTGAAGTATTTGGTTAATATCATTACATAAAATTAAGTGTAAAATTTTTTGTGTTAAAAGTACTTTTATCAAAAGGTTAAATTTGATACTTTTAGAATAGTTTTGGTGTTTTAAAAAATAAAATAAAATATTTAATTATTTTATCTTATATTATAAACTAAATATACAGATAAATATGTTTAAAAAATTTTAAATTACACATTATCCAATATAATAAGTACTTATTAAACTATGTATTCAAACAACATATTTAAAAGTATTTGAAAACTCAATAAGTGATTTTATTAAAAACTCTATTAGGTAAAGTACTTTTCAATCACAACCCAAAACAGGTCCAGAGATGAACAATAAAAAAATTAGCGTATCTTATCTATTTTATTTAACTAGCAAAGATGAATGGCAAAAAATTAGCATATCTTTTTTTTTAAGGTTTCACTTTGGCTTCTTTCTTTCCCTTTTGCATGCTAAGTTACTATGGGTTTGTGTCCATAATTATCTACAACCGTAAATTTGAATCTAATAAGTGAAGTACAATAAAAGTGTCAAATACTTGGCACCAATTACAATAATAGTATTAGTATTTGTAATTTAGGTCTGGACTTATAAAAAAACACTTATGATTTAGGCTGATTTGGCATTATGTTACCAAACCCCTCCCCCCTTGGCGCTCAAAAGGGTTTTTTTTTTTTTGCAACCACACTGCAATTTCAAACAGGACTTTTGTAGTTTATAATATTAACTTTTACCCGTTAGTTTAATCCAAACAAGAACACTTGTGGAGACTTATGTACAAAATATACAGTTTATTACATAAACCTAACAATATAGTTTGCACACAAGTTAGTACAAATGGTTTAATGATTAATCATCTCGCAAATGACAAAAACCATCAAAGAGGCTTCTTTATCCACTTCTAAACATACTCCCTCCCTTTTTTTATAACTGACGTTTAAGAAATTTGCTCTTAAGTACTTTTATCTGTCGTTGTATTATCCCCATGCAGCATTAATTATTTTTTCACAATTTTACCCTTTTATCTCTCTTTTCATAATTGATGAGAGTTGGTTTGCATTGCTTTTGGCCTAGTAAAACAGCACCATTTAATACTCTAGTGAGAGAAAACATGGGTGAATTGAATAATTAATGAGGGTACAAAAGAAAAGTAGTGTATAGATTTAAACAATGAAAAACTTTTCTTAATTGGTGTGCAAAACCTTAAACGTCAGTTATAAAAAAAAAAGGGAGGGAGTAATAAATAAATTAGTAAGTACACTATGCCTAATTTCATTGGAGATCTCTCTCTCTCCCTCTCTTTTGTGAGAGTTTCAAAATTTTCTTTCTTTTGAAATTTGTGCCTTGTCTTCTTCCTTTGGGAGTTTGAAGCTTCTATTTGAAAATCAAACAAACTTCCAAAGCAATAAACACTTCTAAAACCCAAACATATCCAAATTAAATACATTGAAGTACGATAATCCTAACTCAATAAATGGCGCTCTTAAAGGCAAAGACAAAAATTCTACCAACTCCAATCCTGATTCGCGGAAAGAGGGTGTAATAAACCAGCTAAGAATTCATTTTTGCTCCACTTTATCTTGGCTTTAGTCTGGACAAGTATTTCGAAGCATATCACCTAACAGATCCAGTCTTGAACTTGTAGTACTCATTTCAGCTAGCTTTTTCTAACTTTTTCAGATACAAAAAAAAAAGTAGTATGAATATCTAAAAAAGTGAAAAAGAAAATAGCATCAGTTTTTCTGGAAACTAAAGAGGTCAAAATACCTCAGGGAGGAGGAAACAAAGATAGGCATATCAAATTACTGGTAATGGTGAATATTTCTAAGCCATTAAGGGAAGGTGAAATGGATAAGTTTTAAGTATGAGAGATGTCTTGACTTCTTTTATAAATGTGGAAGAATAAGACATAGTGAAAAAAAGTCAACTAGAAAACCAGTTCGGTCCATGGCTTAGTGCAGGTAGTGGTAAAGAATCACTCCAGAAAGAATTGAGAGAACAAGGTATCTCACATGTTTCCCCAAACAAACAAAGATGAGGATTCAAAGATGGGGAATTGATTCAAAAATCAAGTGGAAAGGAGCTGACAAAGGTAGGAAAAACTAGCAAAAACGAGATAGAAATCAGAGCTCCAGAAAGAAGCTCCTCAAGCAGACATGAAGAAATTGTCAAGATGGACAAAGGAAAAACAAATGAGGAAGAGGCAAATACGTACAGACTAGATCACAGAGGAAAAGATGAACAGAGAACAAATGCTATGGGAAAGCAATGTTTAGAGGAGTTCAAGAATGCACAAAAAGGAATTTGAAACAAAAAAGGCAAGGTAATAGAGGGTGAGGAAATGCAAGTGGATGGAAAGTTGGAGGCCCGAGGGGTGAAGAGTAATCGGAAAACCACAAGAAGGACCAGAAAGCCATTGAAATGACCAACCATCATTAAACAACCATTGAGAGATATACAAAACAATGTGAATACTTCAGAAAACTCAGGCAAAAGGAAGTTCCAATTAGGGGTGCAATCAAGTCAAGCCGCTCGCGAGTAGCTTGCGAACGGCTTGGTCAAAAGCTTGGACCGAGCTCGAGCTCGAGTTTGAGCTACTCGTTACATTTAACGAGTCGAGTTCGAGCTCCAAAAATAAACACTCGAGTGCTCGACGAGTTTAATCGAGTTTTCATACCATATTTATATTATATATATTATATTTATATTATATATTTTGAGAAAATATTATAGGTTTAGTTCAAAACTCGAGCTCGAGCTCGCGTAGATCGGGTTTGATATTTACTCAAACTCAAATGAGTCAAGCTCGAATTTAATTTTATTTTATTGAGTCGAACTCGAGCTCGAGTACTACTGATTGTGATCGAGTTCGAGCTCGACTCGGCTCGATAGCACACCTAGTTCCAGTTAGTGGATAAAGGTATGGTTGATGCAAAGGTGGGAGACATGATAGATAAAAAGGTGAGAGTGGAGACAGTTCAAGAAAACTAAGCAATTGTAGGAGAGGGGGTGGAGACCAGCCTATACAGATCTCCAAAGAACAAATGAGGTTATTGGCGTGGAATTGTCAAGGTGCAAAGAGCCCCTTGACAATTCCTCAGTTGAAGGAGGCTTGCAACCTCCTCTCCCCAAATCTGATTTTTTTTCTGTGAGACTAAAAATAGACAACCTTTTATGAAAAAAGTAAAAAGATAGCTTATACTAGATGGATGATTGCAGTAGACTTTAATGACATCACTTCGAATGAGGAAAAATGGAATGGAAGAAGAAGGGAAGCAGGAAGTTTCAAGAGTTTAATGCTTTCATAGAAAGGAATGAGCTCATTGATCTAGGCTTTGATGGTAATCCCTGGACTTGGAGTAATCATTGGTCTACTAAAGGAGGGATCAAACAAAGGTTGGATAGAGCTTTTGGAAACAGTGCCAGGACCCAAATGTTTGATAGAGCTAGAGTCAAGCATATAGAGAATCTTGGCTTAGCTCATAGTATGATTTTTCTGGACTCCACTCCCCAACCTAAAAAGAGGAAAAAAAAAAAAAAAGAATTCTGTTTGACAAAAGATGGTTAAAAAAGGAAGGCATTGAGCAGGTAATCAGAAATGCTTGAAAAAAAGATCAGGAGGGGTCAAACATGTACAGAGTAACAAGAAAAGTAGCAAATTGCAAAGTGACTCTTCTAAAGTGGAAAAATAATTTCCAAGAAAATGTTAGGCAAAGAATAGAAAGAATAAAAAAATAGCCGGAGGACATCAAAAAGTTTGATTGCCAGGACAAAAAAGATAGGATACAAGAACTGAAAATTCAATTAAAAGAATCTTGCATGAGGAAGAACTTTTCTAGTTCCAGATATCAATGATGCAATGGTTGAAGAAGGGTGATAAGAGCACACACTTCTTCCATTCCAATGTAAAGGATAGAAAAAGGAGAAATAAACTGCAAAGAATCCAAAAGGAGGACAAATCATGGGCTAACACAAATAAAGAAATAGGCGAGGAGGTGGGAAACTACTTCAAAGCTCTGTTCAGCAGTAGGGGAGTGGGTCACTTGGATGTGATTCTTGAAAGAATACCACATATCATCACAAACTAGATAAACACTGACTCACCAAACCTGTAGATAAGAAAGAAATCAAAGAAGCATTATTTGCCATGAATTCAAACAAATCACCTGGCTTTGATGGAATGACACCAATGTTTTTTCAAAATTTTTGGCACATTGTTAAAACTAAAATCATCAAAGCCATTAGAAGCTTCTTTCACTCTGGTATCATGTTGAGAGTTGTCAATCACACCATTATCACCTTGATCCCTAAGATAGAAAGCCCCATACAGGTCAAACAGTTTAGGCCAAAAAGCCTTTGCAACGTTTTCTACAAGATTATTTCTAAAATACTTGCAAACAGACTCAAAAATGTCTTAGATAATTGCATTCACAAAAATCAGGCAGCCTTTGCACCTGGAAGACAAATTTTGGATAATGTTATTTTGTCTCATAAGTACATGCACTATCTCAAAAACAAAAGGCAAGGATCTCAAGGTTTCATGGTTTTGAAACTAGATATGTCAAAGGCTTATGATAAGGTGGAATGGAGTTTCTTGAAAGCAATCATGGCAAAGATGGTTTCTGTGATAAATGGATTAACTGGATTACGACTTGCATCTCAACAACTTCTTAAGGTACATTTGATAAAATTGAAATTTCCAAACTGTAATCTGAAATTTGAATTCATTAAGATATTGATTGTTAAGTACTAAATCAGATACATTTGAATGTATATTATATTAAGTGATAAGTGAATAACTCATCACTTATTTTAG